GTGCCTGCTACGAAATCAAACTGAACACATTTAAACAAGTTGCTGATGCTAAGTATCAGTAACTGATTATTACTCGACCTGCAACATATTCGTTGCCTTCGACCACTCGCTTCTTCCGTACTTCTCCAGGGCCACGTAAGGTTCGGAAAAATCGAATGGCAACTAAGGGACTGGCAGATCCGGATGTCAGAGGAATTTAAGAGAAGCGTCTCCCAAAGCCACTTCTAACCGCTCCACCATCAGATGTGAATTCATACTGGACAAGAACCCCACCTCTTTGCACAGTGCTGGGAGCTTTGCAAGTGGCATGACGCTACCAGGCTCACTCAAGCACTGGATATCGTAACGAACAGTGACACTGCTTAGATCGCGGAGAACTATCCAGAACATAACTCAACCCGATGAATTATCAAACACCAAGTGAAAGCGAGCGTGCAAACTGACCGTGAAATCTGGTGGACGCGGAAACCCATGGAAAGCACCTGACATAGAGCCCTGGGCAGTATACGTGGAACACCATAAGGCTTCGGAGGTTAATGACTGCATGTGTTCTTTCAAGCGCACCAAGCTGCTGGGCCGCATTATTAAAAAATTGAAGTGGAGTCCTCAGTTAGCGTTTGCCTGATCTGTTTGCCTGTATTTTGTAAAAAGAGACTGTACCAGACAACTTGGGAGGGTCAGTGACAGTGCCCATCTTCCAAAACGGGCTCATAGTGAGTGTGGCAACCGGGAGGGGGTCTCAGCTTGACTTCGAGATTGTTAGCGACACTTGTACTTCCTTGATTTATGGTGGCTCGTGAAACACTGAATCCAAAGTAGCAAGCAGGATTCCTGTCTGGTAGGGGTTGTTTTGACCAAAACTTTACACCCACCATATATTGAACAGTGTTATACGTCCAAGCGACCCGAAATTCTAGTATTCCTAGGTTTCCAAGGCACATGCGACTGGTTGATCGTTATGTTCTTCTTGACACGCCTTCCCAGCAAGAAATGCCCCGGAAGTTTATGACAATAAGACGTTCTTTGTATTTATCGAATTTTGGACGTGAGAGAGTATGCGGAGAGCTCCCCAAAAGCTTCCGCTCGCCGAGTGGAGTTTTTGTCAGGGATGCCAACTCTTTCCATCCCTATTTACTTTTGTGGTCGATGAGATGACGATATAGGCCTTCGATATAGTCTTCGAAACACTGACTCTCAAGTAGCTGATGGTTAAAACCCTGTCACCTGAAAGAAGAAGAAGGCGCAGATGAGATCAATGCACGGATGATGAAATCCGCAACTGTGTACAACAGAAACATTTTTTTTATTTAACCACCCGATACCACATAGTTCGCATAACCTAGTCAGAGCTTAAATTTGAGGTTCAATGAGCTTGCGTTTCCATCCACTTTGTACCCTAGAATAATGAAAATTCGGAATCTGGCTTATTGAATGAATACCTATAGTTTTCCGCAAATGCTGCAGGCAGTGTCGATCTAGCAATCGACAGGACCATTATGGATGCAAGGAAACAAAGCCTACTGGATAAAGACTAGACGCTTTCTGATCCAGCAGCTGACAAGAATTCTTTTCAAGGATTGGAGTCCTCACTTTATTCCACCAGCCACCTTACCAAAGATTTACTGCGAGAGTTACTGATGCAATAGATTGGAACTTCAGTCAACCAGTCGACCCTACTTGATTAGTTGCATACTATTCCGTATATAGACTCATTCCATTCCCATTCAGAAGTAATACCCATCAAGGGGAATCAACTCAAGATACTTTTCTTTCAACTTGTTCTCTTCACAAGAATACGTCCTCTTGGTAGCTGATTGTGTTCGGTAGATCACTTTAATTTTTGCTTTGTGGCAACTTTATCCTGGAGAACGATAAATTGACCCCAGGATTACCTGGCTCGATGCTAACCGTAAAGTACAGCAAGGTCATCCATTTTTTGTCTTGCTGTTTAACGTCGTCGAATATGTAGCTGTAGGCGGCAAGTTTTTCAATAGTTCTCCGGTGCGACAGCGGCATGATGAACTGGACATCTATGATAGGGAGAATCTGGATAGTCTCTTTTGTGGCGGATTTAACCCCGCTACTGCAGTCCCCTTTAATGGATGAAGAGAAGTGTTCCAGGGAATGACGGGAACTGACCGCGTTATGTACGTTCATTACTTATGAATCAAGTCACCTTATGTATCCTCAAACCAAGAAACTGACTAAATGCAGTAGTTTTGAAAATTTGCTCTTGTTGCAGAATCATCTACTGAGAATAATATTCAAAGATTTACTAAGCGAAAATGTCGGAACAAGAGGTTTCGAGAAAGTGACTTTTGTAAAAACGAGACCTTCAATCTTATGGAGGGACAAACGCTTTCATAAGTTCTCCAGAATTAAAGGCTTTTTTAACTGGGACTGAATAAATAGCCAAACCCTTGTTTTGATTCAACTTCACGCAAAATAAGGTAAGGTAATCAGTCAGTTCATAAGAGAACTGCCTCAGACAAAGTCATCTCACTTTTACATTCCTTAAACATAAGGGAAGATTGATGCCGTAGAGAATACAGGTTGGAGTGCATTTGTTTGAATGGTGAAGAGTCCTGTACTAGGAGTCCAGCAAAGCACCACGTGATTTCTGATTCTGCTTCTAAACTCATTGATGGTGATGCATTTTACAATCTGCTTGCTCTTCAGAGCAGCGGTGTTAACGGTGGTCTTGTTCTGATGCACCTTGAAAGGATGCGGAACATCCGTTGGGATGTCACTATCGAACAGTTTATTCAACTAAGGTTGGATCAAGTGGGTATTTTGGGAGAAGGGGAACAGGTGAGTTTCCTTACTTATTTTTGGCTTTCTTCGCAGGCGTATGTCAATGAGATAAATTATCAACTCCAACCGATCTAGCCAATGAAGACATCAGGCCATTTGGGACCACAAGCTGCAGCTGCAGAGTCAGCGTGACAATGGACAGCTACTGTACGGTTCCGAAATTCATAAGAGCTTGTCTTGAATGGCTGAGAAGTGCTAGGAAGTGATCAACTCAAGACTGAAATTCTGGGCTTGTGCAGAAGCTGTTCAAAGTAATGAGCCTCTTGACTCAGCACCTATGACTCCCAAGGCTACCTACTTATGAAGAAGTCTTATGGAGACCAATTCTATGAAATTGAGTCTAGGCTAAGCGTATTTTTGAAGCGTATTTTGAACTTCAGCGTACAACAACGAACCTTTTCACGAAGGATGATTGGAGGCAGGTACGTATAAGAACACAAGTGAAATTGATGGAAATCATCATTTGGCCGATCCGGCTGACTAAGTTTCAATAGCATACTTGGATTCCCGCAACCATAGTTGAAACAGTTTCGAGTTATCCCCGTTCACCGTGCAACAGTTCTCTATAGAATCTACCTAGTGTTACTGTTCACATACTAATCTGGTTTTTACGGCAGTGTGTTCTACAACCTTGTGAGTAGCTCAACACGTCTATTTTACTGTTACCTTACAGGAAGTTTACTCCTTTTTGATACGAATGAAACCGGACTGGTACTATCGCATTCCATGTGAATGGAATACGCAAGTTTATTCTGCAGTTGCTGTACACTGCTGTCCCATCATCTGGCCCGATAGAAGACCTGATGTATCCCACAGATGCTTTGATGTCGCTGACAACAAATCGTTTGTAATTGGAGCCCTCGTGCATTATGATACACCCCTGAAACCAGAAGAACCTGGGTGGGAGAATTCAGTGGTAGCTGGGACACCACGTTCCGGAGATGTTCTTACGAGTAAGTAAGACGAACATTCCTGATTTTACCTGCTAATACCAGGCTACAGTAAAGGATGATTGATGATGCATGATTGCGAGAAACAGCTTTCACGGGCAAACGTTTTAAGGCACCTTCAAGTTTCTAAACCTCGATATCTCAGAAACGTTGCAGGTGTCGGGTGGTGTCCACCATTTCGCAACGGAGTAACTAGAACCTGGTTACTGGTTTGAGCAGTAGGTACCTCAGTCATGAAGAAGATCCGGCACCAGGAACGGCGGTAGATCATCAATTTGTTACGCATGGCGAAACATCTTTTACGGATGTTTTCTCTTCTTACCTCCTTCGGGATAGCACAAGCTAAGAGGCTGACAGTGTGGGACGTGATAAAGAAGAACTCTAAAAAGAGTACGAAGAGTTTAGGTGCTGGTGCCACTGTTGCTGCTGATGAGGATGACGAGGATAATGCGTTGCTATCGTTTCCATCATCAAAAATCACTCAACTTATTGAGAAAGTCTGGTATGATAGCTTTCGGCCACAAAATGAACAAAAACACTGTCGGTTGATTTGATGCTGCAGTTAATAAAAACTTTGAGATATCCCACAACCGTTGCGCTGATCTTGAGCTCATCAGGTGGAGATGATGGAGCTCGGCATATGATTTAACACCAAACAGCAGATATGTAAGGATGAAACCCAACTGTGAAACAAAGATTTGGGAATTAAATTAGATGAGGAGGAAACTCTTGCTAATGATGTGTTCCAAATATTGGTTTTGCTCAAAACCGATTGCATGTTGCCGTTTCACTGCTGCACTTGGAGTCAGTCACTCTGCGCTTTGCACTTTATTAGGTGAGTATTGTTAGTGCTCCCCAATGACAGGGCTGCACAGAGTAGGGTCCTATTCCGATTCGATCAGCGGATAACCTACGTTTACATGGACTTTCGTAGACAAGGTCAATTTGCTTCTCTTCACAAGACCATCATCATTCGCAGAAAGACGCAACTAGGTGCACAGACACAAACAATAATTATAAGCAAGCACTAGGTAGATGTGCCTTCTTTACGTGTCGCGGTTACTATTTGTATCTTTGTTCAGAATCATCAGTGGTTGATTCACTGGATGCTTACGTAAAACGGAGCGAAGAGTGATGCTGCGCACAAGTTGTTGGCACCGCCTCAAACCTGTCGGGGGAGGCCGGTGGACAAGCCTACAGTTGAAAATTGTTGAAAAAAATTAGCAAGTATCACCGCGAATGCATTTTATACAGTGGCAACAGTCCGTCTAAAAGTTTTAGCGAGATTCCGCTCGCCTTCAAATAAATCACTGCTAAAATGCCCCGTGGGGACTGTCCGGTACCGCACTGTTCAGGTGGGAGGTTACAGTCAGGCGGAAAAACTGTAGTAGGATGAAAACAAATATGGTAACCGCGTGGACATGTGTTGACTACAGATTACAGCAGAGTTTGGAAGATACTGTCTAGAAATTGGACTTATTTGGAGGCATTTTTATTACAGCTTGTTAAGCAACTTTTTGTCTTATTGGCATACAGCCCACTTCCGTATCCCACACAGGAGTGAAAATAATACGATAGCCTGGGATACCGCGATTTTGACTTCTACGTCCACCTTGGTCACCCATGCCTGTAGTTCGGTAACGATTGTCATCTCTGTGAACATGATGCCGCCAGTGTAGCGGAAATTTTTACAACACACGAAGTCCCGACCCATTATCTGAAGACATGATGTCAGTTGTCCTTAGTAACGGAGAGGTTGAGAAAAGATGAGTGTGTTAGAAACCATTATAATTGGACCAGAAGCAAATGATGTGGATTTTATGTCTCCAAATCTGCGAATAGGGCACAGAAAGTAGCACACGGATCTTCAGCTTTCTTTTGACTTTTCCAGTTGCACGAATGACTAACGAGGGAGCTGAGGATGATACGCTATCTTCTGGATCATGTGGTGCATGTTCACAAGTTGTGATCAGATATAGTGATTCGGGTACTGCCAGAAGTTGGTCCGGCTTTACGTTTGCACCGATTTAGAGCATGCCAGATGTGATGTTACAGGTGAGTGCTCGGGTCATCATACGGGATCGAAGAGATTCGTTAATGTTGACAGTTTTTAGAAACTGGTCCAAAGCAACTCTATTTACCTATTAAGGACTTCCATAAAGTATGCGAACGGAACATATGGCGCTTGGTTCAGTTCCCGGCATTTCCATTTAAGCTGACACGCCTAAAATACGTCCGCTTCTGAGTTTACTCTGTTCTTCCGATGTATTCTGTTCAAAAATATCAACTTCTAGCATGCTGGACAAAATACAAGCAAGTAATATCCCTTAGTAACAGAAAAGACTTCTTCGTTTGTAGTTATCAGCTTTCGCTGGCTTCTCATTCCCTTTGAAGAGTTGTACGGACCTGGCTTTTGAGACACTTTCTGTCTTCCAGACTGTATAAATATGGAGAAAAAAGTGACCTAGAATTGAAATACTTACGTTGACTACCATCGCTTATGCTCTGCTCCTTCACACAGCTCTTCGGTTCATGTGTCGCCCTTCGAAGTTCAACCTTCATAGGTGGCTTAAAGGCCCATAGTCAGCGGAATTCAAAGTGATTGCCTCAAGCGAGATAGCCTAAACCTACACTGGAAGGCTTGCTTCATGGTGTTGGAGATTGCGCATTTTGGAGCTGAGGGTTTACTGTTTCGCGCAAAAGAAGTATCCGGACGGTCAATAGTTTTTCATGGAAGATCAGTACCTTTATATTTACAGGACGAGTGATGGTGCTGGGGAGATAAGTCAGAACATGCTGGACCGTATGCTGATATTTGCGGATGTGCTGCGCTCAATTTTCAATATTTCAAGCAGAATCACAGAGGTGACGCAAGACCGTTGGTTTGATGGCAACTCTCTTTGATTCTCACGTCCGTCTATCCAAAGCTTGTATTTGCACTGCAGTCCGAACGGTGTACGTAAGGAGTGTTTGAGTGCTTGACCGGTTCCACTTGTGACGTAAGGGCAGAATCATTCGGAAATAATGAATGGTCTAAAACCCGAACACGGGACTCCACTAAAGTAGATTAACCAGTGAGTTTCAATTCAGTCTGGTTGAACTGCATGAGGCAAACGGCTGGAATTCGTGTCCCAAGACACATGATCAGCTGAAGAGGTAGGGTCGAATTCGGTGAAAATCTGATGCCCGCCACTAGTTTGAAAATTTACTGATCTTGTTTCATCTCATGAGAGAACCTAGTGCGTCACAACGGAGGCTGGAAGAAAGTCATCGTTGCAGGCGTAAGCTGCTCTGTGACAAGAACCTAAATTTTACCACAATATGTACAACGTTTTAAAGCGAATCATTGCATCTTGCGTCACAAAATCATGTCAGTCCAAGTCAGTAAGACCTAGTTAACAACACGTCACAAAGTGTATCTCTGACAGAAAACGCTGGATGATAAGCGGAGTGCACTGCTACTTGTCCTTCTGTCGGCGTTCCAAGTGTATACACTGGTGTATACACCAGGAACACCGAAACAAACTTGAGTAAATTAATCAGGTTCCAATAGAATAACAAAACGTTTATGCTGATTTCCAGGTGCATACCGCACAGGTATACCAGGATCATCCTGAACATGTAGAGGAATACTGCAGGCTTCTCAAAAGATTGGGCAATACCACTGCACAATCAAAATGAGATCTTGGTGGAAACCTAAATGTATCAACAACATAGTACCCCGTTTACTGACGATATCCATCCGTTATTGGTGGACAGCCAAACTTACTTAATGTGTGTGACTGTGTCATCAGCAAAGTCGATCAGTACTCAGTAGCACGTTCTTGTATGGACCAGTATGAAATTTGTACAAGTAGTGCTGTCCGTGGTGGACCACACAAGATGCAATTACATCATATGAAATATGGATAGCTCCTCATTGTGACCGCAATCGACACCATGATTCATCTCAGATGAGGAGAGATAATAGTGTATATTTTGCCCACAGATGATGATTCTCAGTGACACCACAACTGTTAATGTCGTATGGGAGAGGTGAAGTCCTTTCAGGTCGTCTGTATTGACCCCGTTCACCGTATTTTCTTTGTTTTAGTCGACCAATTGCGATCACGTTTTCTGGACGTTTACACACGATTCCAAAGGATCCCAATGAGTTGCTTCGCTTGAAAGTCAATCAAAAATGCGTTTGCAGAAAATTCGGGATCTCTTAAAATCGGGCTTTCTGATGGGATATGGGACTGAACTTTTGAGTCCACAAAATTTCTGGCCGGTGCAGCACATCTACCTGTTCTTAACTTTTCCAAAGAATTTATCGTTATGTTTTCACCACCATTTCCTGTTTAAAAATGGTTTACCGACGCTTATATCGTACATATATGTATAATTTATTTTGATCAGCTTTTTTATGCAAAGATGTTGTTTCCAAATGATATACATGTGAACAAATTTGCGTCAAATAGTGGCGACGGATTTGTGGTTCATGTGCCAGAGAATTAGGCAAGACAAAAGCCGGAAAACCACTCATAAGGTATAACTGAGTCATGAAGTGCTACTTACGACCTGGCTAAGTTTCAATAGCAGTTGCCACTGTCCACGTTACCAAAGGAAACGAATCGAACTTTCACATAGCTCCGAGCCGGGCTTTGAGTGGTTAGTTAGCACAAGGACTCAGCCATAAATTTTCGTCGACCGCAAGATTAACCTCAAAATTAGCAAACGTATTTATAAGAGAGGAACAGTTGTCAGTATGTTGCTCTCTACAAGCAGTTTTTAGCTCAAATTTGTTCTCTGAAGTGGTTCATACTTCTCTTTACTCGTATGATGGGAAAGTTTGATTCCGCCTTCGAACAACAACATCCCGGATTACTTGTCTGAAAGAATCTGTTTACAATCGTACTTGAGGCCGACTGGTAGGGTGTACGAATCAACATTCTGATAAATGAATGAAAGCCCTTTGCCGCGGGATAATTCGTTGAAAGCATGAACTAAGCAGACATAAGTCATTAGACAGTAATGTCAACATATTGAATACAATCTTTAAAATCCCCGAGTTCTCCTGCGTCACCTTGAACTTTCCTGGATATTCATTAACTACTTCACAATAGTAAACGAACACTACGAAGTGGTTCCACAATATCTGTCATAAACTTCACCTTCCATCAGATGCGGTGCGGAGCTAGATAAAAAACCATAGACTACTCGCATAGACTACTCCTCAGTAATATACATTGCCACACACCTATTCCCTTCAAAGGCCGCGTGCATTCCAACAATGTTTTATTCGCCTCCGTTAAGTAAGCCTCGACAGCTGGTATATTCCGAACCCATAGGGGTGTATCGTGCCAATTTCGAAGCTGGGCACCGTTTAGTCACTTCGACCCTCAACCGTTCTGCATTGTATGCACATACCCTCAACAGTCAGTGACGACAACTGGGCCTTACGGTCGACTGTCCAACTTGCGCAACTCCAGTTCACTACTTCCAGGATTCTGACGATCCTTTCGTATGAGCTTTACGCCTGTGTGGAACGGTCATTGCTGCCGTTTTCTCTCTAGTCACTTCCTTCATGGCACCCAAGTTTTCTCGAGTTATCCACCTTTCCTCTCTTATCTCCTCTGTAGATAGGCGTGTTGCCAACCACAACCCAACTTCCTGATCAGCTGGAAAGCAAGGACGTCAACCGTACGTCAACATGAATGTAGTTGGCTGGATCGACACACGATTAGTTACCAATACCATCGGCAGGTTCATTTCCCAGTCACCTCGTTTGACCGCCAGCCAAACCTTAACTGCGTTCGGTTAGGCCGTTGGTAGAGTGCTGTCCTCAACAGCTAGCTTTTGAACGCAATACACAAAGCTCCTCTCTATCAGAGCAGAGCCCCAGAGCCGTTAGCATCATTTTTAGTATCCCGTGGATGGCTTCGATTACCGCGCATTACCACTCCACTGATGGTTGCCGCCCGTTGATTTGGTACGGCCGCCACCTTGACCCACCGTGACAGGTATTTTGTAATTATCACGATATATTCACCCCTCTTGGGTGTCACCAAATTGGGGCCAATAACGTCAATGGACCAAAACTCATCGATCTCAGATAAAGGGAAAGGCTTCATGAGAGGGGCCTCACTCCTGTCGTATCCCTTTTCATCAATTGGCATCGCTTACTGGACACCACATAATCCCTTACCTCGCTTCTCATCCCGGGCCAGTAGGCCCTCTGCCGACGTAAGCCGTACGTCTTCGTGCACCCTGTTTGTGCGATCTTGTGGCATTTAACAATCAGCTTCTTTCTAAAGGCACCAGGTATCGTGGGCAGCAAAACATCCAAATCTGTGGCGTTCCAGGATATTATGCCAGCTTCACTCAGATTCAGCCTGTCACTGCGACTCTGGAGCGTCTCCATTTCTTTGTATCCCATGTCCTCAATACTCTTCCCGTCCAACAAGCCGGCTGCACGCTTTTATCATACGGGGTGCTGCTGGTGTATATGCATCAACCTTCCGGGATGAAATCTGACGACGATCATATTGGTGCTAATCTCCAGCCTCTTTTCTTGATAGCTGATCAACCAGGTGATTCTCCTTTCCTGACACGTGCTCACTCCTGAATTCGCACCCTTGTGACTCGAGTGCTTAGCGTGTGAGCTTTCTGTGAGGATCTCTGGTGGCCCTGATCAACTCGAGGGTTTTATGATCAGTCTTGACTTGGGATATTTGTCCCAGCAAGTGTGGCCTCCAGAAATCCATGCCCAGCAGATTGTTAATTGCTGAGTACTGCCGTTTGATGTCAGCCGGTACACGACTGGCATACTCGATAACCCCACTCCTATGCTTTAGGACTGCGTAGAAACAGCGGTCACCAGCTTCCGCTGCAACAGTAAACATCTCTTCGACCCCTGGCAGTTTGAGAGTGAGGTGCTGACCCAGATTCCCGCTTTGACACATTCGAAAGCCTCATATGCTTCCCTGGTCCATTCGAATTTCCGATTTTGCCATTCAGTGGAGCAGCAATCGTATTGAAATCCTTGACAAACCGGCTGTGCTATGCTGCTCGTCCAAGAAACTACCGTAGGGACCGCTTTGAATTGGGAACAACACAATCTTCGTTCTCTTTTGTTTTTTTTCTGGCAGTGGGCTAACCGCTGCTTGACCCACTTTATGCCACAACAGGGTCACCGAACTCTGACCGAGTTGTGTCTTGGCTTCATTTATCTGCAGGCCAGCCTCCCGGATCCGCTTCAATATGACCTTGAAGTGAACTGCGAGTGCGTTACTGTACACAACGGTATCGACCCCGTACACAGCATTTTTGGACATTAATGTGTTTCCAGATTGTACAATGAGTGCCAATTCTACGCGATTGTTTCCTGGTATGGTTCAGATATTGGTTGTTTACTTGTGACGATGAGGTATATCTTCACTGTGTGTACATAGAATAGCGGTCAGTAAAAGCATCATCACCCATGAGATTACACCAGAACCCTACAGTACGATATATTGTTTGTTGCTCCGGTGGTTTTTGATCTGTTTACCCAGCTACGCAATCGCTTTGCAAGTTTTTCGTCATCACTTGAGGATAAATTTTCAGTGCGCATGCGTTTATATGACTTCCAGGGTAACCCTTATCTATTGTTATAACGTGAATAGATGATTCAATAACGGCTTTCTTATCATTGGTTCGTCTAAGCTTAGCGTTGTGCTGTGACTGGCATGGCTCGATTTGATTGGTTCACCTGATAGCCTCCGTTCAATAACGTTGATCGTTCTTTGATCGCTCTTAACCATGTTTGCACAAAGCATAGTCATCTGTGATGCATCCCTTAGCTTCATCAGCTGTAGAAGAATACACTTATTTATCCCGTCTATGGCGCGTAGGTCTACTCCCATGACCAATTAGAAAACAAACGGTGGATATGGAGATAAAACAGATATTAACGGAAGTTTGGTCTCATCTAGGCCGCCGTAATATCGCTCTGAAATTCGTGTTGTTAGGATGCAATCCTATTCTACCAAAATCCTATTTGATGAGAATGTGATTCTTTTCGGCTACTATATAGAGGCTGGTTCAGGTCACACCCAGCATGCCATAGTCCTTCTTGAAGATTTCGTTCTACCATTTATCAAGTGTCAACTTTTCCAAAACGTTTGGAAAAAAATGCGCGGTAGATAACATGCTGGTTGGCTTTAAAATCATGCATTCTCATGGCACCTGCTATGGAGATCTCCATGGCGTCTCTGTTTTAAAAACACTGAGGGCAAACATGAGTGGTTTTCTGCGCTGAGTTGCGCAGTCAAGAAAACTTATCAAGAGACTAACCATTTAGGGGACATTTCGACGATTACGTTCACAAGCCAACAGATAAAACATCTCAGTTTTGTCCCTAAAGTTTTTTAACAGAGATTATCATTCATTACTGGATTTGAAATGAACATGTTCCTTATAAGTCCGACCAAGTCTCTGGAAAGCCTACCAATGGTTTCCCACATGTTCGGGTGGATTTAACACTAAAAGGATACAATAAATCCATTGAATAAAACATGCGGCCAGTTACCTAAATTGTTATTATCATTGCTAATATTATTGTTTTATGTCGCTTTAATTCTTTGTAATGTACTACTCATTAGGTTGCTGAAAATCCGTCGACAGGCCACGACCGGTTTCGCCCTTTTTGGGGCTGAGAACATCACAAACGAGAGATTCAGCTGGGTTTCGGGTGAGTTCCCCGAAAAACAAAATTAGTTTGCAAATGAGTGTATATTCGCTAATTTCGTGCAATTTGGTTTCAAGTAGAACATAAGGTTGACGGAAACTTGGGAACTGCGCCTAACTGATGAGCCCCAAAAAGGGCGAAACCGGTTGTGGGCTGTCGGGGGATTTTCAGCAACCTTATGAATAGTACATTACGAAGCCATACATGCATCGCGATATCTCGAATAGTGTAGTGACTGAAACATGAGGCGGCCTGGTGCAGCACATTCAGTTGCCTGAGAACATAACAAACGAGAGATTCAGCTGGGTTTCGGGTGAGTCTCTCGAAAAACCAAATTAGTTTGCAAATGGGTGTATATTCGCTTTCCTAGTCTTTGCTGATTTCTGTCACTGTGAGAGAGTTCTTGCGGGAGAGTTACTCATTCACCCAGTCCGTGAATATTTCATTTTCATCTCATGGATATGTTGCACTTGGGCGAGTGTTGTTCACAATACGAGGGACGGGTAACTCGTGTTCCCCATGGGACTCTGTGAGGTAATCCGTATATAGTACTTATGTAAGGTAAGGTAAGATCGATCGCTGTGGGTTGCATTAAGAAACACGCCGGCCTATGAGTTGTGCATAACCGTGATTGGCCTGGTCAGATCCGATTACATACCTGAGGCATGATTCGAAAC